TTAGTAGAGACGGGGTTTCACCATGTTGACCAGGATGGTCTCGATCTGTTGACCTCGTGATCCACCCGCCTCGGCCTCCCAAAGTGCTGGGATTACAGGCTTGAGCCACCGCGTCTGGCCGAGAAATTTTTATTCTTAGTTTCGATTTGATGTTGTTTTTGTTTTGTTTTGTTTTGTTTTGTTTTGTTTTGTTTTGTTTTGTTGTTACCCGTGCTGGAGTGCAGTGGCATGATCTCAGCTTACTGCAACCTCTACCTCCCAGGTTCAAACGATCTTCCCACCTCTGCCTCCTGAGTAGCTGGGACTACAGGCATGTGCCACCACATGCAGCTAAATTTTGTAATTTTTGTAGAGACAGAGTTTCTTCATGTTGCCCAGGCTGGTCTCAAACTCCTGGACTCAGGCGCAATCCTCTGGCTTTGGCTTCCCAAACTGCTGGGATTACAGGTGCCTGAGCCACTGTGCTCAGCCTCAATTTGATTTTTAATATAGAATACATTGGCTTCTTTTAATCCTTGTCTGCATAGTGGTTTTACCAGATGTTGGTAGTGAAAGTTATGGATACCTTCAAATATTTTTTATTTAATAAAACTAAAGAAGCTGAACTTTTGTCTTCTTCTTTATGTTGAGAGCCAAACAGAGGAATCTTAAAATTTTTACACTTTGGAAAAAGAGACCACTTTTGGAGGAATTAATTACTCCCCATACCTTTTGTTTATTCTTTAAAAAATAAAAAGTATGCCATTTTTTTGGTGTTATTTAAATAGTACATCATCTTTTTTATGGGGAGCTAGCAAGAATTGGGTTTAATGTGTATTGAATTTGAAAAAAATTATGTCAAAATTTTGATTATTTCAAATTATTTCATGGATTTTGATTTGGGAGATTGTCAGTTACTTGTGTTCTCACTATAATATCTGACTGATTATTTCTGGAATTCAGACATACTGTCATATGCCATTAAAAAAAAATGACCATTTGATTATAGTAGTCCCCCTTATCTGCAATTTGGCTTTCCAAGGTTTCAGTTACCCACGGTCAGCCATGGTTTGGAAATAAGTGAGTGCAGTGCAATGACGTATTTCGTGAAAGAGACCACATTCACATGACTTTTATTATAGTATATAATTATAATTGTTCTGTTTTATTATTAGGTATTATTTGTTAATTTCTTACTGTGCCTAATTTATAAATTAAGCTTTATTATACATATATAAGTGTAGAAAAAAATTTAGGGCTTGGTACTATCCAAGATTTCAGGCATCCACTGGAGATCTTGACATGTGTCCGCTGCAGATAAGGAGGGATTACTAAATAATGAAAAATGTGTATGGTACTGTTTTTTTTTTTTCGTAGTTTTGTTTGCTAGTTTATTTTCTCATTTCTTTTACATGTTGTAGTGCCTTAGACGTCTGTAGACCTCCTCTGTAACATACTCTTTCTCTTAGTCATCTCGTGGTTTTGAATTTCATCTGTAGACTGATGACTCTAAATCTTTCATCTCCATCTAGGAACTATCTTTTAGCTCCATACGTATTTATTCAGCTATCTTCTTGGCATCATCACATGGATGCCTACTAGGTATTTCAAATTCATTATATTCAAAGTTGAACTAATTTTTCTTCCTTAGATGTCCCCAAGCCTTTTTATGCAAACAAATGGTAATACCATGCTTTCAACTGAGTAGTCAACCCTTTTATCTTTCTCTTATACTTTATATCTAACTCGTTAGCAAATCATGTTGGTTCTACCATCAAACTACATCTAGAATCTGGCAAATTCTCATGATCTCTATTATTGCTATCCTGTTTTAAGTCACTATCATCTGTGGCCTAGATTATTGAAATAGACTTCTAACTGATCTGCCGCATCTACCATTCCCTCTCCCCTGCCCCAGTTTAGCCTCCCAGTTTAACAGCCAGAGTTATTTTAAAATTGAAGTTAAATTATGTCGCTGGTGCTCAGGTCCGTCGATAGCTTCCAATCTCAGAGTTAAAGCTGAAGTCTTCACAATGACCCATAATGCCCTATATTCTCAGCCTCCTTGGCGCTCTTCAATCTCGACTACTGCGTATTTGCCTTTCTCACTGTGCTTTAGCTGCTGGCCTCTTTGCTTTTCTTAAACATTCTAGGTACACGCCTGCCTTTGCTCTTAGTTTCCAGTCTCTGGAGTGGTCTTCCTTGGATATTCACAGTTTGTTTTCTCACTTCCTATGTGCTTTGTGCACATGTCACCTTCTCAGGGAGACCTTCTCTGACCACCTTATCACTCTGCTTAAAATTGTAAACCACCGCACCCCCTACCCCCGCCACTGTGTGCACAGCAACTCTCTATCTTCCCTTCATTTTTTATTTTTTTTTTAATAGAGATGGGATTTCACCATGTTGGCCAGGCTGGTCTCAAACTCCTGACCTCAAGCGATCCACCCGCCTCGGCCTCCCAAAGTGCTGGGATTACAGGCGTGAGCCACCGTGCCCGGCCTGTATCTTCCCTTCTGTTTCATTTTTGTCTATAGTAATATGCACTATTTGATATTCTTTATATGTTTTTTATTATTTGTGTGTTGACTGTAACATCAGTGATATATTACCCTCCCATGTTTTGTATCTTTTTTAACAAAATTTAGTTGAAATGGTATGATGCTAACAGTGGTTACCACTGAATGGTAGAGTTATATGTTACTTTTTTTTCTGTTTTTCCATATTTCCTAAAGTTTTGCCAATAGCTATGCATTAATTTGTTAGGAATACAAAAATAAATGTTTTATTAAACAATACGTAACATGATTTCTCATTTTAAAACAATTCAATTAAGCCACATTAATGGGCCATATCCCTTTTTGTGATTGATGAAGTGATTTAAATGCAATGGAAATAAAGGTTTCAGTGTTTTTTCACTTTATACAATTATACTATTTCACATTTAATTGTCTCATTCCTGTAGATCTGAGATCAGCAAAAATACAGGCCAGATAGTAAATATTTGGGCTTTGTATGACATACAAAGTCTGTCACAACTGCTCAGCTCTGTTCTCGTAGTGCAAAAGTAGCCACAGGCAGTGTAAGGTGACTGTGTTCCAATAAAACTATATTTACAGAAACAGGCAACAAGCTGAATTTGATGTGTGGGACATAATTTGTGGACTACTGATATAGAATTTAGATTAAGTATTTTTTTTGTTGTTGTTTTTGTTGAGACAGAGTCTTGCTGTGTAGCGCAGGCTGGAGTGCGGTGGTATGATCTCAGCTCACTGTAACCTCTGCCTCCTGGCTTCAAGTGATTCTCATGTCTTGGCCTCTTGACTAGCTGGGATTACAGACATGTATCCCATGCCCAGCTAATTTTTCTTTATTTTTAATAGAGACGGGATTTTGCCGTATCGACCAGGCTCGTCTCAAATTCCTGACCTTAGATCCGCCTGCCTCAGCCTCCCAAAGTGCTGGGATTACAGGCGTGAGCCACTGAGCCCTGCCAGATTAAGCTTTTTAATGCAGATTTATCAATCTCAGAAATGAAAATATAGTTGACCCCTTGTATCCGTAGATTCTGCATCTGTGGCTTCAACCAGCTGAGGAGCAAAGGTCATTTGAAGAAAAAATAACATTGGTACTGAACAGGAACACATTTTTTCTTTCTTGTCATTATGCCTTAAATAATATATAACAACTAATTACCCCAGCATTTACATTGTATTAGGTATTATTAGTAATCTAGAGATGATTTAAAGTAGATGATTTAAAGTATACAGGAGGATGTACATAGGTTATCTGCAAATACCATACCATTTTATATCAGGGACTTGAGCATCTGCCGATTTTAGTATCCATGGGAGGTCCTGGAAACAATGTCTCAATGATACCAACAGAGGACTATATAGACATGAGTCCTGATTTCTTTACTGCACATCAGTTATTAATGGATAATATTAATGAGTAATTTTTGTTTAAATTCAACTCTATTGTCTTTAGAAGTTCTGTGCCTTCAAACAAGGAAGCTAAGTAAATTACTTCTAATATCTATAATGATCATTTTCTTTTGATTTGCATTCAAAATGTATTTAAATCCTGTACATCTTAATCCTTAATCATCATCTCAATGGAAATGTTTCATTATCTTCATTTGGGATTTTAAAAACTCACTGACATGCAGGAAACTCTTGTCTAATTTTCAGGTTTTTCCTGTGTCAGTTACTCTTTTCCCTTTTCTGTGATTCTTTTCTGAGGATATGTAAAATACTGAAAGTAAGCCTGAGAAGCCCACATGATAAAGGCCATGATTCGTCTGACATAGCTGTAGTCCTCTGTATTGACAACTTAAATATTTTTTTAACTTGATCTACATTTTTCCACAATGATATGGTATGAATAAAGATTTCACCTATTTTACATTATTTATGAAAACAAATGGCTTATATTTAAAAAGGACAAAATTATATATTTCATTGAATGAAACTGGATTTTAAAGTGAAATAAATAATAAAACCCAAATACTTCGATATTAACCTCCCAAGTGTTGTTTTTAGATTTACTTTTAATCCCCTGTGCATCTGAACTATAAAAATTCCACAGTTGTGGCCAGGCACAGTGGCTCAAACCGGTAATCCCAGCACTTTGGGAGGCTGAGGTGGGCCGATTACCTGAGGTTGGGAGTTCAAGACCAGCCGGGCCAACATGGTGAAACCCCGTCTCTACTAACAATACAAAAAATTATCTGGGCATGGTGGCAGGCGCCTGTAATCCCAGTTTCTAGGGAGGCTGAGGCAGGAGAATCGCTTGAATCCGAGATGTGGAGCTTTTGGTGAGCCCAGAACGTCCCATTGTACTCCAGCCTGGGTGACAAAAGTGAAACTCTGTCTCAAAGAAAAAAAAAAAAAACACATTTGTTTCTATAAGTGTATGTATAACACAGCACATTTATAATGTTTTAACTAGTAATGCGCTTGTGAGTTTGTTCTCCACTGAAAGCGCTTAAAAAAGTCTTAAAGTGTAATGTTAAATTTAAAAATAATTATTTTTTATAACGAAAACATTTTATCCTAAATCCAGTTACTTTTTCTATAGGTTTTTTGACATTTAAAATTTTTATAAGGTATTTATGAATCAAGGAAAGTTAAGTAGTCCCTTGAAACAAAAAATTTTAAGTGAATTTATTAAAATTATATTTGTTAAATGACCATAATTTTAAAAGAGCCTGCATTTGACATTAGGCTGAACATGAAAACTTTTTGTTTGAATCAGAATTTTTTTTTTTTTTTTTAAGTTTTGTCCATCAACTAAAGGCACAAACAGATACCTCACTTCTACTGGTGCTGATGGAACAATCTGTTTCTGGCAATGGCATGTAAAAACAATGAAATTTAGGTAAGTTGAGAAATTTTGTGAAAAATTAAGCATATCAATTTTTGTCTATTCCCTTGATTCTTAATAGTTCATGTATTTAAATATGTATATATATTTGTATGTATATGTATATTTGTGTATACATACCCATACCTGCTTCAATAGGTTGTTAAGTGATTTTAGGATAAAGCCTTTATGATATTAATGTTGAAGAGATAATTTATATAGAAAATGTTGGTAGATTTTTATTTGTTTTATTTCTTTGTTAAGAAGATTTCTCACAATGGTAGTAAATAATATGACTTATAAGACTATAGTAATAATACTGATATCATAAAATACATTTGCAAGGTTAAATGCATTTTTAGCGTGATTGATGGGAATAGTACTGACTACATTCCATTTGTTTTTTCTATAATATTGATGCTAAATCGATCAGTTTCCAATAGTGTGCTAATATTCTGGCCCATTAGATAAACATGACGAAAAATAAAAACATCTTATTTTTCTCTTTAGAGATCGCCCGGTGAAATTTACTGAGAGATCCAGACCTGGAGTCCAGATATCTTGTTCATCTTTCAGTTCTGGTATGTATAAAACTAGAATATTTTGAGCATCTCGAATATTAAAATGATCCAGTTGTAAAAATAGATTATGTGATTTATGAAGAAAATAGATACACATTTGAGTGTTAATTGAAGGATACCAAAAGTGTGAACCATGTGTTATGATAGATAAACTTTTTTGGACTCTTAAGCATTGTGTAAGGTTGATTTTTTTTTTCTTTTCTTATTCATAATTTAACACATTTTTATATAATGGTGATTTTTGCTTGCTAAAAATCAGACCACCTATTCTAAATACTCACCAGCCAAAAAGTTTAGTGCTCCCCCTTAGTAAACACAAAAATTCTGCTAAGTTTATTAAAAAAAAAATGTACTATTGCTCCATATTGAAAATACTTCTGCAGTGCTTTTTCTACTGCTAAGAACCCTGCATTAGTTAACCTTTTTTATTTCTTTTTTTGATTGTGGTAAAATATACGGAACTTAAAATTTTATCACTTTAGCCATTTTTAAATGTACACTGTAAGTGTATTCACATTGTCCTGTGTCTGTCATACCATCCATCTCTAGAACTTTTTCATCATCCCAAAAGCAGTTGAGTTTTTACACTGTTCCTGTTCACATCTTTGATGTACCCTGTTCCTGTTCACATCTCATCCATTCCTTTGCTTAAAGCCACAGTAAAGAGAATTGTAGAGAAGTCGTCTTATAAATAACTTTGGAAGATTACGTTTCTAAGTAAAATCTTTGTGAATTCCTCAAGGATGTGTTCTTTAATATTTAAGATTGTAGGCCTGTATTCAGTGTATAGTTTATAGATTTTGTTGGATGAATGATACAATTTTACATTTTCTCTGAATCATTAGCGTTAGCATGTCTCCAATAATTAGAAGACAACCTTGTGTTTCTTGAACCCTTTTTACTAATGAAAGGTAACATACAGCTAAGGAAGTAATGAGAGGATTTTTAAGATTGCTTGGTACTATGTTTTTTGTTTTTTGTTTTTTGCCTTTTTTTTAATCTTCCAGGTGGTATGTTCATTACAACTGGTAGTACTGATCATGTGATTAGAATATATTATTTGGGTTCTGAGGTCCCCGAGAAAATTGCTGAATTAGAGTCACATACGGTAAGAGAAAATCAGAAACGATTGCTTTATTTTTGAACACCCTTGGAAAGTTGATTTTATTTCTTCTTTTCTGATGTGTACGATAGTTTAATATATACAAATCTCAAATTTTGGCTTACTCTTTACTCTTGTCATCACTACTACACATACTATATTTGTAAAAGTATGGGTTAATTATTCTAAAGAATATTTGAATAGCAGTGTCTAAACTATGGTACCTATAAGTTGTCAGATGATTCCATTGTAAAATATTTAAATAAATGATGTGGGAAACAGGAAGTGATTGATTTATTTTCAAAAATTAATAAAATCAAGTGGAAATTTAATGCGACTACTATTAAATTAACTTTTAAGGTGTTCTCTTACATTAAAGTGCTGTCTTATTACGGAGGACATAATAAACGAATATCTATTTAGAAATATTTGTCTCTTGAGATATGGTTTATAAGATTTCCTTATGTGTGGTTTCCTATTATTGCCAGTAAGTATTCCTCATTAGTTAGTACATCGTTTTGGGCCTCATTAATTTTTTTTTTTTTTTAGAAAATTAAAGATTTTCTAACCTCTAATTTATTAAACAAAAAACTACTTCAGTGATGTTTTTGCCTATGAATTTGAGAGAAAGAGCAGTTAGTTCATTTTACAAATGAGTCCATTTTAACCGAAAATCTGTTGTTTTATGTCTTAGGATAAAGTTGTTGCTGTTCAGTTCTGTAACAATGGAGACAGGTAATTATGTAATACATATTTGTGTAAACAGATGTTTGATATATTTTACTACCATTTTTCTCAGATGCAGCTACCTCTATAATAGTTACCTTAATTCTTTCCAGTGATTTAGGTTCAAAGCTTTTACTTGTCTTTGATGACATCCTTAGCTATCACTTCCACAATCTCATCTAAGTAGTAATCATAGCCTATCAGTTCTTCCTTTCTGGGTGCTTCCTTTTTTCTTTATTTTGCTCTATTTCTGTTAGCACCCACGTTAGTCAAGTGTTCCATTATTTGACCTATCCATCTCTGCCAGATTAACATTTTTTTTTTTTTTTTTGAGATGGAATCTTGCTCTGTCGCCCATGCTGGAGTGCAGTGGGGCAATCTCGGCTCACTGCAACCTCCGCCTTTCGGGTTCAAGTGATTCTACCCCCTCAGCCTCCCGAGTAGCTGGGATTACAGGCACGTGCCATCACACTGGGCTAATTTTTTGTATTTTTAGTAGAGACAGGGTTTCACCGTGTTAGCCAGGATGATCTAGATCTCCTGACCTCATGATCTGCCTGCCTCAGCCTCCCAAAGTGCTGGGATTACAGGCGTAAGCCACCATGCCCATTGTTCTTTATAGAAATCTCTAGTGTTTACTCTTCTCTATTTACAGAATAAAATTCAAATGTCATAGCCTGGCATTCAGAACTCTCTACCACATGATTTAGAGCTACATTCTTTTCTGTTATTCTCCATATGAATCCTTAAATCCAGCATAGTTGATGTACCCTGTTTCTAGTCACATCTTATCCATTCCTTTGCTTATACTTTTCATCACATCATTTCTACCAAGAAACGGCACTCCCTACCTTCCCCTAACCTCTTTCTCTCTCCTACTTTCTACCTCTCTCCTTTCCTCTCTTCTCTCTCTCCTTCCTTCTCCCGCCCACTTCTTGACTAGGTCTTATCTTCCTTTTACAGTTCATGCCCTACCTGAAACCTTTCCTGACTGTTCCAGCTTTTAGTTGTCTTGGCTTTGTCTGAACATCTGTATCACTCATTATTCCTGTATCCCCAAAGTCAGAAATTATATGCAGATATCCTTGCACTCTCTAAAATGTCTAATCCCAAAAAGATAATGGCCAAAAAAGGCTCTAGCCTAAAAGTTTACCTTAAATTTTAAAATTGTAATCACCTGGCATAAATTTGGTTCTAATACAGGTTACTTCCCATCTAAAATGCTTGGTACCAGAATTGGATATTTTTTCAGATTTTGGAATATTTGCATATACATAATGAGAGATCCTGGGAGATGGAACCCAGTTCTAAACACAATTCATTTATGCTTCATGTACACCTTATACACATAGCCTGAAAGCAATTTTATACAATATTTTAAATAATTTTGTGTATGAAACAAAGTTTTGACTGTTGGTGACCCATCATAAGAGGCCAGATGTGGAATTTTTGACTTGTGATATCATGCTGACACTAAAGAACTTTGAGATTTTAGATTTTTGAGTTTGGCTACCTCAACTTATATGTTGATAAGGACTTTATATGGATGATCATGTTTTCTTTTTAAATAATTTTTTGACAGCAAATAATTACAATGATGGAGTTGTTCATTTTTGTCAAATTTGAGAGTAGTCAATTTGGTCTACAAAGAGTGATGTCTATATTAGGAATGAGAAAACCACCAAATAAATTTTAAGGTTGACTTGACTGCATTATACTGAGTTAGATGCTTCAACATTAGTGTAGCTACTATTCTTTCATGCTAGAATTTAACTCCGTCTTTTTCCATTAAGGAAAAAATACGTTATTGTGTCTTAATTAATCGTGTGACCAATAAACACATGAGGAGATGTCCAATTTTACTAATAATCAAAGAAATATAAATAAAAGTAACAGTCACTTTTTTTTCTTTCAGAATGACAAGATAATGAAAAATGATAATCCCAATATTGCCAAGGGTTTTGGGAAAATGGACACTTCTACAACTTGTGATGAGATTTTAAATTGTTAAAAAAAACTTTTCAGGGAAACAATTTGGCAGTATGTATCAAAAGCTTTAAAAATATGCCTACTCTGACTCAGCAAAGATATGTATAAGATTGTACAAAGATTATATAGAGATATTCATCACAGCATTATTTATAATGATGAAGATTGGAAACAACAGTTGATCATTAAGGGATTAATTAAATAAATTTTGATACATTCATATAGTTGAACACTTAGTAAAAGTGATAGCAGTTTTGTACTTGTAAACATAGAAATAGATCTACAAAATACAGTTAGGCTAGGGAAAAACATGTTTTTCCTAGCTTTATTTTTTGTAGTGGAAAATACTGAAGTGTTTATGTCTGTATTTTATAAATTCTGAAGATAGAAACTGAAGTGTTAACAATGACAGAAGTATGAGTGAATATGTATTTTCTAATGACATCTTTATTGAAATAATGATTTATATAACATAAAATTCGTTGGATTTTAGTGTATTCATAGAGTTGTGCAACCATCACCACAGTCAATTTTAGAACATTTTTATTGCCCCTGAGAGAAAGCTCATACCCTATCGATGTCAACCTCCAATTCTCCTATCCCTTCACTCCCAGCTCTGGGTGACCATTAATCTACTTTTTGTCTTTATAGATTTGCCTATTCAAGATTACTGTGTCTATCATTCTTTCTTTCTTTTTTTTTTTTTTTTTTTTTTTTTTTTTTTTATTGATGGGCATTTGGTTTTTTTTTTTTTTTTTTCTTATTATGAATAATGCTGCCATGAATACTCATGTACACATTTTTATGTGGACTTATGTTTTTATTACTCTTGGATGTATACCTGGGAGTAGAATTTCTGGGTCATATGATAACTCTACATTTAACATTTTGAAGAACTGCCAAACTGTTTTCCAAAGTGACTGTACCATTTTACATACCCCTCAGTAGTGTGTGAGGGCTAATGTGTTACTTACGTTATCAAAAAAAAAGTAATTTACATTTTTGAGAAAATTAATAAACCTATTTTAACTCTTTCTAGTTTAAGATTTGTTAGTGGAAGTCGAGATGGAACAGCAAGAATTTGGCAGTATCAGCAACAAGAATGGAAGAGTATAGTGCTAGACATGGCTACTAAAATGACTGGGTAAGAATATATATTAGATGTTTATGTGGTTCTCATGATGTATTTTAATTGAGTTATATTTAATAATGAATATAAAATATCTTTTTACATTAATAAATAGTTTTAAGTTAATTGTAGACAGGAAGTTTTCATCTGTAAAGCCTCTAAGCAAATAATCTTTTGCTGTTAATTGACAGACTGGATGACAGGAACATTGCTGTCCTGATATTCTGGTCTGTTGTGACTCAAAGATGTCTGTGCTCTACTGATGCCCAAAGAGCCATTCTCTGCCTTAGTTTCATAGAGGTCATAAAAAAGTATATCTATATTACTTTCTACCTTGAGAGTTGTCCCTATTAAATGTCAGCACATGTTTAACTTTTTCCCTAATTTTCTAAGAATACTTTTATAATATATTATATTGTTAACATTCTTACTCAGCAATATTTATCCACTTAATCAGCATTCAGTTTTATCACCTTCACTGTTGATTAGAAGATACATAATTACCTCTTTGGGACACTACAGTTTCTTTAGGGTGTGGCCCTGAAATCAATTACCCTTGTATTAGTTGAAATATAGAAATGACTTTTTCATCATAGCCACCTATTGATAATGCCATATGCGCTTACATAAAAATGTTACTAAATTTTCTTTTTTTTTTATAAGACCTTATTCATTTAAAAAAAAAATTATAATTAAGGGAATAAAGTGGCAGTTATGTTTTTATATTTTCTGTTAACCAACATAACTTTGAATTTTGCTTTACAAGGTATTTATAGATTTCTTAGTAGCTTCATAATTTTTGGTTCTCAAGGAACTATTTACAAAATTTTTGTCATCTTAGGGTCCTTTTTTCCTCCCCGAAATAAGCTGATGGGTATTGCCTATGCAGATACATGTAATTTTTCTTTCATGAATACTTAGTTTAGGGTTTTTAAATCTAAACAATTGTATAATTCTGGAGAAATCTTGTCATAATTTGCTATTTAACATGCACCTTTGTCAAAAATTTGTAAGATATGAATACTGCAAATTGTTTTGTTTAGCAATAATTTGCCATCTGGAGAAGACAAGATCACTAAACTTAAGGTGACTATGGTGGCCTGGGATCGTTATGATACCACAGTTATTACTGCAGTGAACAATTTTCTTTTGAAAGTGTGGAATTCTATCACAGGACAGCTTCTTCATACATTATCTGTAAGTATTTTATTTTTAGAGCGATTAAAATGGTCAAAAAACTCATTATTTTAAGACACAGGAAATTTAAGTTCCAGTTTATTTTCTATGATATGGTAGACCTTGGAAAAATGATTTTCTGAGAGGCCTCTGTTGATATATCTGTAAAATAGGGATGACACATACTATACCTGCTAAAAGCAAGTATGAAATCTTTCCAAGATATTTTCTAAGTCTAGTAGGTATTCATCTACTATGTTATAGAATATAATGAGGACATATAAGTTATTGTGTTTTTAGCAGGGGTTGACATTTTGTCATTGTTACCATTATAGGGACAGAGCTTAACTTATTTCGACAAGGATATGCTACATAGTCTACCTTTAGTGATTACTTTATGCAAGGAATAGGGGTAAGAAGAAGTAGGAAAGAAAAGGTTTTTTTCCTTTTTCAGAAATGTATTTGTTATTGTAAGAGGCTTCAGTATTTGTGATGTAAAAAGTTGAAAGGATTAATAGCAGAAATCACATGGGTGGTATTGATGTTTTTTAGTTTATCATAATACTGGTTGACTTCAGATTTAAGTTTGAAACCTTATTTTTTGTCTGCTTCAACTATCAATTCATAAGCATTTTAAGGAGATAATGCCGGATGATTGCCCTGTGATTACACAGTACTAAGTCTTAAAGTTCAGATTAGAAACCAATTCTTATGACTCAACTCAGTTGTTTTTGTAGTATATCATGGTGTTTATGTATCAGAGGGATGTAAAGTTCTTTTATTTTGGAAATGCTGTTTGAGCATCAGCTGTGTGCCAAAAGTGGGTTAAGTGTTAGATATAAATGGTAAATTAGACAGAGTCATGTCATGCCAGATTATAGCCTATTAAGAGAAATACTTTAAATCAGATAAGTGTTAAGAAAGAAAAATGCAGGATAGAATGCAAACTTTTAACAGGGTGACCAAATTTGATATGGAAGGCTCAGAGAAAACTTCCTGAAGAAGTGTAGTTTGGGTTAAGTTTTGAAAGATAAGTAGAAATTGCTGAAATCTCAACAAGTGTTACCTCCTTGATTAGGCCTTCCCTGATCAAACAATCCAGGGTAGACTCCTAGTCTTTGTCTTATTATGTCACCTTGCTTTACTTTTATTAATGTTTATCACTATTTGGTATTTTACTATTAAGTTTTCTTCTTTATTTGCTGCCTCTACATGGTAGGGAATCAATAAATATTCGTTAAATATGTGAGGAGGCTGGGAGGTGCCTCTAGGAAGAGGGAATGGAATGTGCAAAGGTCCTGAGGTAGATAGGAGCTGAAAAAAAGCCACAGGGAGCAGAAACAGAGTCTCCCCAGATACAACTGGAAAAGTAGACAGGGGCCATACTATTTAGGATTCTGTAGGCTCTATTGTAAGACCAATAGGAAATCATTAAAGGGTTTAAAGCAAAGGAATGAAATGTGAGGTTCGCTTTTGAAAAATATGTTTTAATTCTGGGCACAGAAGAGACAATAAAGTGGAATGAGCTAAGAGTGACTGCAGGTACATTGTAGGAGTCTGTTAGTAGCCAGGATGAGCCAGGATGATAATTTAGATTTGTGTGATGGTGGTGGAAATAAAAATGTGCTTACTAAATACAAATATGGCAGATGATAAATTTTAAGACATTGCTGACTTTGACCAGCTCTTTTTCCCCACGATCTACTATGCCCTATCCTAAGGCATGTGACCAAAAAAAAAAAATTAAAATCCCCAGCTTCCGCATTTTTGTTTGTTTTTCCCTAACCTACATTGAAGTAGTTATGTTGTTATCATTTGAGTTTAACAAGCTAACTATATTTTTTTGCTGGTTAGGAACCTGAGAAAATATTGGCTATCTCAAATTGATTGTTTTAGCAAGGGATTTTGTTACAGCAAAGAAATAACTTTTTCAGTAGTCACTGGGAAGAGTTTTGTAAATTTGGGGTTGTGATGGTATTTATTGTAAGGGTATTTTTCCTACTAATCTTCACACTATGTTTTGAACCAATTTAAAGTTTTTTTTTTTTTTTTTTTTTAAGCTGTATTTCTGTTCATAATTGTAATATGGTAGGATACTCTATTTATTCCATTTATTTAAATAGCCTGATTTGGGATAAAATGCACTTTTGAGGTTTGCAAGATATGATCTTTTTTTAAGACACTCCTGATATATAATGTGATGGTGTGCTCCTAAGGTAAGTGCAGCTTCAGGTTGTTCTCTATGCTTTTCTAAGACTTGGAGCCTGTTCCTAATCATATATTCTCTAGACAGGAGTTAAGTCCAAGGAAAATCAACAATGATCTTAAAGCAGATGTCTGTAAACTTTTTCTTTATGAGGAATATAAACATATAACATTCATAAACATGTTCTGTGTTACATAAACTATAACATAAACCATTGGTTTTCAAGCTTCTTTTTAGTAGCAAATGTATCTTTCAGATAACATCTTAAATGGTACTCCCAAATATGAAGTAGATATAGAGCAGAGCCACTGTGCTTTATCTTTTCAGTGTATCATGGGGCCTACTAAAATACAGTTTGCATACCAGTGATAGAGAATAGAGTCTTGGATGAAGAACAATGAAAGTTTGTATTTATCACTGTGTCAGAATTGGGTGTTAATGAAAGATTCTGTTTGTCATATTTTCTGTGACCTTTTAATTAGGCTAGTCCTAAATTCTACTTCAGGGGCCTGGTTAATGAGCTGTAATAGTTTAGATTATCTTTATTTTAAAAATAGTTCTGGGTCTTCTGTTTATTGAATTCTTGATAAAAGCAGTTTATAAGGAACAGTAACTGAACTATACTCTTCTTGTAGTATCCATATAGTAAATGCTGTTAAATTTTTCTGCGTGAATTAATTTGAACCAGACAGATAGCACACAGAAGACCTTTTTACCAAGTAAACCAGACATTTGTTGTTGCTTTTTATTTTTAATACTGATTTTTATTGTAGGGACATGATGATGAAGTATTCGTTCTGGAAGCACATCCATTTGATCAAAGGATCATACTTTCAGCAGGTCATGATGGGAACATTTTTATTTGGGACCTTGACCGGGGAACCAAAATTCGGAATTACTTTAACATGGTAAGAGAAAGCTGTATCTAGTTCACATTAGAACCAACTTTTCTTATGTAACAACTTGGTAATTAAAGTATACCTAGTGCAGGGGAACCTCTTGTCATCTGTGTTTAAATTGGTAAAATAATTCAGAGAATAACTCAAGAACTGAGTAAGGCCAGTTGAGCTTTTCAGGATGACTATTCCTAGGTGTTAGCATTTTCCAAATTCTGTTCCCCAGCTCTAAACTACAGATATTCAAATTTAGAGTTAACACCTAGCCAAAATCACAAAAAGATTGATGTTTAAAATGTAATTCTGATTTACGAATTATACAAGTGACTGTAATACTTCTATCTGCCTCTGGTAAACATCATGCGATTTAGTAATCAGAAAGTTGTTTGGCAAACATGGACTGGAGATATGGATACTCTTAAGATACATTTAATACAAGCCATGAAAAAATCTGATGAGCTATCTCTTCTCTCAAAACACCTTTCTATGGTGATGGGAATACTCATATCCTCTTAAGTATAATTCTGACTAAACATTTCTAAATTGTTGGTTGGCCTTGGAGCTTACTTTTATAGGCTTTATATAGACCGAAAACAAAGACAGGTCCTCTCTCTTTTGTTAGTAAAATTGATTGTGTGCTTTAATTTTAGGATGGTTATTTTAAGGCTTTATTGCATTATAACTTAAGATTTGAAGATAATATCTTGAGTTTGCTGAGGTAGTACCTTTGTCATTTTGGTTGTATTTAGTTCTTTTTTAATCTTTACAGTCACTCATTTAGTATTTCAAGAGGTATGTCATTGCTAGCAATGATTGATTTCATCCATTGCAATTTGACTCTCCCTAATTTCTTTCAGAGATTTACTGTTTCAGTAGGGTTCTGGCTGCAGAAGCCAGAGAGTACTTTGGAATGTTGGTGCATCACAGAATGAATCCATGGTATTAGCAAGGAGAAGTTATCACCTATTGATTATTTGAAAATTGCTCTTAAGATTACATGAGACTCCTCTGAATTTCAGATTGAAGGCCAAGGCCATGGTGCGGTGTTTGATTGTAAGTTTTCACCAGATGGAAACCATTTTGCCTGCACAGATTCTCATGGACATTTGCTGCTTTTTGGTTTTGGATGCAGTAAATACTATGAAAAGGTTAGCATATTTAAATTTTGCCGTAGAGTGTAATTTAGGAATGTATCATTCACAAATTTTGTTTAAAGCCTTCCAGTTAATAAGGGGTGTTATGTGTTAATAGATAAGAAATAAAAGAAAATTGTCTTTCTTAGTAAAGTTTCTCAGTTGTGATCTGCACTGCTGGAACATTAGGCTTGGCAGTACAGATCACGATTGAGATAAGTTATAGGGTGATGAAGATATAAAAATTTCTTAGAAAATCCTTTTGCTTTGAACATATTCTCTACTGCCTTCCAGGTATAATAGGAGAGTAATTCTAATACATTGCATTTTCTACTTCTCATGAGTTGGGAATAAACCTCTGGTGACTGAATATGTTTATATTCTTAGGTGGCTATTTTACTATTTTGCTTATTTTTGATCCTGTTAAAATGTTTTGGGAGCTAACTTAATAGGTTCTTTATATTTTAATTAGCTGTGAATTTGAGAAACATTACAGACTCTTAGAGTTGGAAGAGAACTCAAGCATTGAGGCAGCTCAATAATTATATTAATATCAGTTTTGAGTGTCTTTGATGTGATTGATATTTACCCGTTTTACCATGTATATTATACTTCATCTATCTTCACTTGAATAAAAATAAGAAAACCATATGTATAATTTTTACAACTTAAATAAAAATGCCCAATTATATCTACTTGGTTGTTGCTTTACTTCTTCTTATCATAATAGGAGAAATATGATATGTCTAAAAATTAATACAGATTATAGGATTTTGTGCAGAAAAGAAAGTTACCATCTAGGTAATTCCATTCTATTTTACCTGAAGGGAATATATGGCAGCAAAGACTACAAGAGTATGCAATAATTGATTTTAAAAATGAGTGTGCTGTAGGAATAAAAACAAGTATTTACTTATAAATTCCTTGTGGCTGTTGACCCACTACGAATCTGTCATAAAGATTCCAGATCAGATGTTCTTCCACACGGACTATCGTCCTCTTATTCGTGATGCCAATAACTATGTATTGGATGAACAAACCCAACAAGCCCCTCACCTCATGCCTCCTCCATTTTTGGTGGATGTTGATGGAAATCCTCATCCTACAAAATTCCAACGGCTGGTACCAGGGCGGGAAAATTGTAAAGATGAACAACTTATACCACAGCTGGGATATGTGGCTAATGGTATGTTTTCTCTAAAAGCAAATTTAAAACATTTTTCACAATATTATACATTACTACTGTTCTCTATGATGTATACCTCCTGCTAAACTCTGAAGTAGCTTATTAATATGTTTCATCTTCTATTGCTGTTAATTTTCAGTTGCATAAAACTTTTTACCTTAGCAGAGTACTTTTTCATCGTTTATCTCACCTGGACACAAATAAGTGTGTTAGGACAGACACAAGCATATATAAGCTCAAACAGAGAACGTATTGACCTATTTCTTTAGAAAACTTTATATATGTATGAACCTGTTGGTTTCTATAATATTGAGTTGTAGTAAAAGCTTTTATAACTGGTGGAATTCCATTGCTTATAGTATTGGCATTTTAGTTTGAGAGTCCATAGTTAACTGAACTAAGAAGAGGAAACTTTGAAAAACCACAGACTGCCGAGGCACAATGGCTAATGCACTTTTGGAGGCTGAGGCGGGTGGATTACTTGATTGAGGTCAGGCATTCAAGACCAGCCTGGCCAACATGGTGAAACCCCATCTCTACTAAAAATACAGGCTGGGCGTGGTGGCTCACGCCTATAATCCCAGCACTTTGGGAGGCCGAGGCGGGTGGATCACGAGGTCAAAAGATGAGACCATCCTGGTCAACATGATTGAAACCCCGCCTCTACTAAAAATACAATTCGCTGGGCATGGTGGCGCGTGCCTGTAGTCCCAGCTATTCGGGCGGCTGAGGCAGGAGAATTGCTTGAAGCCAGGAGGCGGAGGTTGCGGTGAGCCGAGATCGCGCCATTGCACTCCAGCCTGGGTAACAAGAGCGAAA